AACCGAAATTCCGAATGAAAGTAGAATTTCGCAACTGAAGAAACGTCTACGGCTTTTTCGTTATATGGCTAACCAACTAGTGACTTTAGTGGGTCTACAGCGGCTTGTGATTACATAGTCTCACCACATGACTCCTCATTTTCTACTGAAATGGATAAGACATTTACTGCTCGACTCACCCTCGATTTGATGACCTGTAGGTGTTTGTCTAAACATTTTGGTAACAATTCCATGCACAAGCTTTCTGATAGCCATTTTGTCCTGGTGAAAGTGTTGTGCTAAAAAGAGTGTTCTCTAAACTTCTACAGATCGAATTGTTTGGAGTAGAATAGGTGATGCAACAAGTCACTTACTTCCCCTACTGATTATCACACGTTTGCCCCATCGTTTATGGAACTGCGAAGATTCGGAAGCTGTTTCCCAACTCGAAATGGTCGGCTTGTGCCATGATGATTCGAATAATTTTCGGCGACTATTCTTTGAGCTTACGAAGGCCTGAAGAATGATAGTAATTGAACATGGGTTACAATCGAGATCGTGATACAAAAGGCACAGGTAAAAGTCTGAAGGTTGAACCTTCCGACGTTTTGGGATGAAGCCACACCCTTCAATTCCATTTACAATCATTTTGGTTTTGAATGCGATTCGGCCTACGTAATGACTTGTAGGGTTGCTACTGTGCACGTCGTTATCTTTATAGTTCCAGGCAAGTCCAGGCAAATAAAGCTGTCCTAGAGCGATGGAAAAGCTGAGTGGTTTTGAGAGGGGAGGGGTAATTAGTCTCAGGCATAGCTTCTAGCTTCGGGACCATGGGCATGGTAAGCGATGGTGCTGCTTTACGCTGGCCCAAGGACGGATTTCCCTTCAAGGCAGTGGGCACGAGCGCCACCGGCGGAAGGACTGCCGGGAGACTTTTAGTCTCACCTCCCTCAGCACTTTCACCAATGAAAACGTTGTCGACGACCGCCTGACCAAACAGTCGTACCCACTGCCTCTATGGACACACTTTTATCAATTCGAGCAATGCCAACCTAGACGAACGTCTCCAACCTTCCCTTAGATTTTGGGGATGCGGGCGGGGTTTCTGTAGCTACAAAAGGGCATTTACGGTACCGCTACCCTATATGAATCCAGTCAAAGCAACTGTAATCGCGCTGGCCACAACTGCGCTGTGAAGGACAAAAGAATTGACTTCAGGCGGGACTCAAAACTGCATTTTACATCCGCCTTGGGGGGACAGTTTTGGATCGCACATCCCATAGGCGTAGTATGAGAGCACTGAGATGCGCAACAAAGTGAGGGTCAGATTCGAGACCTGTCTTATGCTGAATCATTCTGTGTCTTCGCGCACGTGGTGTTTACGATTTGGATTGTTATGTGGTGTGGCCAGGATTGTCCCACTGGTTTCGCAAGGCGTCGGTGCATGCAAAGGCGGAGAGGATGGAAGAGATACGGATTATGGGAGGAGTGAGTGAGGCCCCGCATGGGTGCGCGGTCCCGGGCATTATAGGGCCGAAGTTAGACAGGCTTTCTCAGGTCAAATCCAGGGCAAAGCCACGTAATCGTTGAATCCCTGAATAACGATAAGGCAGTAGACGGCGGCGAGACTTGAAGATGTAGCTTGGCAGATGTATTTTTAGGTGCGGAATAGATATGCAATATTTAGCCCTTGGTTAGTGAACAACAGCCCGCGCTAAATTTCCACATAGTTCTTCTTATTGTAAATTCAATGACGCCACGTTTTGCTTTGCGATGTATGAAGGGCTTGTAAGTATAGAGTACGGAAATATCTCGTTTGTCGATCCTTGAACCTCTCTCGAACGTCATGATGTCGCTCCAAATAGCATCAGTTGACATCTGAAGGACACATGGCTTACATTTTCAAAAGGACTCATGCTCTACCAAGCCTTCAATTGTCCTAAGCACTACTACCTAATGGAATGCTTTCCTTAAAATACGGGCGGTACGCTCTTCATAAAAGTTCGTCCAGCTAAGGAGAAAACTGTGTGTCAGCATGCGAATAACTTAAGGCCATATATAGGTCCTCATCACTGGCGCACGCGGTGGGCGTGTCAGCCCAGAAGGAGTGCGCACATTGTTGAAGCCGTTCTCAGCCTTTTTATTGCAACGCGTATGCGACAAAAAGTGGTAGAAGACGAGTAATATACGAAGAATATGGTTATTATTACATCAATCGCAAGCTTGTTCCGCTCCAATATTTAAGTTAACCTGGTGCAGTAATGACTTTTGCCAACCGCACCGAATGCAGCCGCACTGCCACTTCCCACCGGTCCCAATGAAAGAAGGACTGTAACGTTGTTCAGGCGTTGGTGTCTGATGGGCCCTAAATTGAACCAGAATGGGCTGCTTTTTCTACGCAAATAAACGATCAGTTAGTGATAGACCGCAGTGTTAGACACAGCGCGGGTTTGCATCATTCAACGCCTCCCTGGCACCCGCCTCGACTACTGCCGGACGACATCAACTGTATCTCTCCCCGAGTAGGCGACGCCGAAACTAACTCTTTCTTATAAGTTGAACTGGAGGTGTCCTACGGCCCCGCCCTCGACCCGGGCCCAAGTGTTGGAAAGTTGCTGAATAGATTAGTCGCTTGTAAAGCTGACGTACCTCTGCACCACCCAGGAGGTTTGTTCCACTACGCTGATCGTGGAATGTGCCTTTAGGCATTGTGAGTATGGCAGATATTCAACAATAGAACTTGCCTTGAACTCCTTCATGTCACCATCAACATCAGCCTTGAGATTATCAAGACTTGTGAGAACCAGTGGTACGGCTATAACAATAGATAAGATGGCGAAAACACTGCATGCAAGTGCGAATAAGAACTGTTTTCGCATAGTTTTCACATCCATATTGTAACGGTTGTTAATTCGCTCTTCTGTGTGGACCTGAAAGCAGTCTGTGTGTGGACCTGAAGAGTAAATAGATGGTTGGGGCGCCAACACTTTCAGGTTAAGAGCGGACTTCGCGATGAGTCAGCGAAAAGTTTGCAGGTAGTGAAGGCAGAAACAGAAGTGTATTTGCTAGTTGACTTGTTCATAAAGAGAAAAGTAGAGGAAAGTGATCGAAAACGCTTCACATAGGGCCCTGATTGAGCTGGGAGAGAAACCAAGAATCTATGTGAATATCGGGAGAGAGGCCAAACAAAGCAGTGAGAGAGCATGCAAACGAGCAAGACAGCAGATAAGGCATCTCTCAATGTGGGCGGGTTCACTTGTGTAACATTTTGCCGCACCGCCGCTATCTTAACAATGTCTGACGTGAAACTTATACAGGGTTATTTGTTTCAGTCCACGGTTCACGCACCCCAGCTGGCAACGTCGCAATCAGTCAGGGCGTTTCCGACCGGGACGAAATGAGCCCAAAGGCGGTATTTTCATCATGGTTCGTTTTTTCCTGGATAATCACTGACTGTTCACTACTGGTAGATGAAGCTGCGAGATGCAGGCTCTTTCCACCCCTCCCAAACATTGCTCTGCCTGATTGCGACGATGTCAACTACACTTGTGGTCAAGATCATGACACCCTTTGTGAAACAGGTGGACCCGCAATACTATCTCGGTCTTTGTAAATTAGCCAAGGGCCTGAAGGTGATTGTAAAGTGAACACCTCCAAATGATGAAGTATCGCATTCCATTGCTTTTTACAACTCATAACAGAAGCCAGGCGCATGGCACCTCCCAAAGAAGGGGGATTGTTAGTCGCTATGAAAGGAAAGTAACTACTTCGCAATATCAATTTCTGAAAATATATGGTCAGTTTTGGAGCAGTTTGGCTTGGTGGGGGCAGGAAGTCATGATCAGGGAAGGTAGCTTAGGCTTCCATCTAAGGACCTGTCAGTTTTTGTGAACAAAGTGACTCATAGCATTTCGCAATTTCTAGGAGTTTACAGGTGTCACCAAAGCGTCACCTGTGAACTGATACGAACTAGCAGGAAGAATGCCGACAATGCAGTGCCCCTCCCAAGCCGAATTCCCAATTTTCTTCCAATAACATGAGTAATGTTTTCGCAGGAGTAGGATCCACAAATGAATTTGGTAATAATTATAGCTGGGTTCAATGGATGTAGGTTTTAATGTATACAGTAATACTTTTTGAAAACAAAGTGACGAGCTACATAGAGTTACACAATTAGGCGACTAGGATTAAAATCTTGATCTTATTATTATATATAATGCAGGTTATCCGTCATAAAATCGGCACGAAAGAAAGCAGATTGTAATCGACGTCAAATGCGTTAACGGCGGTGATTCCCTAATTTGTAGTTTATCGCAGTTGTTTCAGCGAATCACATGCGACATCTCCCTTTTTTAGGGGGTTCGTATGACCCCCACCCCTGACTCCCTCCTCATCGAGCTGTCGAGCGGGGGAGGGGGTAAATAGCACATGTG